GACATTTTATTATTATTTTATTGTTCTTACCAGGTGCTGGTGTTCAATTGTGACGAAGGGATTGATGTGCGCTCAATGGGTCGTATACTGGTCGGTATCGTCAAATGCGGTGCTTGGGGTTGTTTTGATGAATTCAATCGGCTGGAAGAATCGGTTTTATCTGCCGTGTCTATGCAAATTCAGGTGAGTTTATTCATTCACGTTATTCGATAATTGGTCGGATCAAAAATCTTGTATTTGTTTGACTAAATCGTCAAATTCAACTGATGACCGCTCATTCTGGTCCCTTGTCAAATGATGCCTGACTTCTGACTTCTGTCAGCCTGAGATCAACAGGTTGACTACAGAACCTCTTATTTGAGATCACACGCCTTGATAATAGATTGACCTAATAGAATCATGGAGAGAATAAAGTGTCCTCCAAACTGCCTATNCTATCCAATCAGTGCAGCTCAATTTTCATGCCCATTAACCATGCACTGTCGACACCGCTGTTCTATAACAGCCTGTTGTCTTCAATATTTGTGAGCAAAGAGAAATCTTGGTTAACTGTGTATCTACAAACAACCAGACATTATTTTGGTTCGGTTAACTGGTGGATTTCAAGATACTTTTATTAATCCTCCAGAAGTGACGCATTTGTGTGATCATGTTGCAACAAGCTATTAATGATGGAATGTTGTGGGTGGCGGTGGACGGTCGATTGAAAATTGTTTCACTAAGTTTGGTATCTGTGAGTTCAAACGGATTAAACTGAAATGTTTTATTCCATTTTGTTACAAGCATTTGCATCTTATTGCATCTCTTACATGATCACACCATTTGACAGGTTATTCAGGACGGATTGCGCTCAAATTCCACACACATCAAATTACTGAATCGAAGCGTCAGTCTCGATCCTAATTCGGGCCTGTTTATTACCCTCAACCCAGCCGGTAAGGGTTATGGTGGACGTCAGAAATTGCCGGATAATTTGAAGCAGTTATTCCGTCCAGTGGCCATGACTCAACCGGATGTAGACTTAATCGCAGAGATGATTCTATTCGCAGAAGGATTTCACCAAGCTCGTGAGCTGGGTCGAAAACTGGTCTCTGTATTTGCTCTGGCAAAGTAAGTGCACAATTATGTTTGGGATATTAGTGATGCTTTGGTTTTTTATTCCTGAAACAACTATCCATATTTTGAAAGTTAATTACCATGCATAACAAACAATGATTGTACGATAAGCCTCAGTTTCAGTTCAGTTTGTACGACCATTAATCATGCACTTTCGTGCGCCAGTTTTGGTTGTTGTCTTTTGGTCGCCCGAAACTTCTGCCCTAACACAAACCCTCTCGATTAAAGGGGAGCTTGTCAAATCAACCGAATCTTTTCACGTACCTTGACTCTACGATAAAACCGAACGGCCAGGCGAAGGGTGAAATCCAACTCCGTGTAAATGGGGCTAGAAGAGCCTTCCTACAACTCCTCAAACCGTTTTTGAATTGATGCGAAATAAGCTTCAACGCTAAGCTTCGGGTTTATCAGGCTTTCATCCACCCCATCCTCACTTATGGTTGTGAAACCTGGCCGCTAAGAGTACAGGATACAAGGAAACTCGAAGTATTTGATCATTGGTGGTTACGCCGCATCTTGAAAGTGAATTAGAGAAATCGGATTTCCAATGATGAGGCCGACGGCGCTGCTTGAACATGGGCAAACTTTCACAAATGCTACAAAGCCGGCACCTTCAGTGGTTTGCCCATGTGCTCCGAAGGCTCGACATTCAACTTTCGCGACAGGCTGTAGCCCCCGCACCGTGCCGAGGATGACTTTGTCGACTCGGTGGTAAACTGAAAACCTGGAGTAGTATGATTAAGGTGGATTTGAAATTACTGGGTCTCCAATCCGTACATAAAATTCGTAACTGGAACAAGAACTGGTTCTCACACTGTGTCAACCACACTGCCAATCGTCATGCATGGGCCGCCATCATTAGAAACATCCAAGAAGCCGACTTATTCTCCCGCAGGATGTAGTCGATCAAAAGTAAAAGTACAGTGCGATTGCTCCATCGTTTACCACCTC